TCAGCCGGAGCTGTTGGGACGACTCCCAACTCTGGACCTGCCAAGGTTCTCCGGGGTCCTTTCCGAATGGCTGACCTTCTTGGTCTTTTCGGCAGCGTAGGGGCCGCCCGGAGTGACTTGACCACTAGCCAAAAGATGGCGTACCTCCTGGCCTCACTAGAGGGGGAGGCCCTGGGCGTCGTCGGCCACTTGAGATTGTCGGACGACGCCTACCAGACTGCTCGGAACCTCCTAGCCAGAAGATACGCCAACGTCCGGCGAATTGCGGACGAACATGTTAAGCAGTTTCTAAGCCTCCCGCTGCTTAGTGACCGGACCAGACTACGTCCGGACCTGTTGGATCCAGTCTTGGTGGCCTGTAATACGTTGAGGCGGCTGGATTTACCAGTGGGTGAATGGGCCTTTTTGTGGCTCCGCATCATGCTGTCCCGTCTACCTCTCTACCTTCGAATACATTTTGAGGAGAGGTACGGCGGGGACGAGGCCTCCTATATTCCGCCCTTCTATGACCTGCTGCGGTTTTTGGAGGAGCAGTGCCGGCAGATCGAGAACGCGGCGGGCACCGTTGACGACTTACGAGCCGTGCCCAGTGAGAGGCTGAATCCGCCAGGCAAATCGTCGTCAACCCCCCATGCTTGTCAAAATGTTCTGTTGCCGACGGCCTCAGTGAAGGCGTACAACCCGAGTGGCGACTGTTAGCGGTTTGCGCTCTATTGGTCTCGGGTTCACGCCGTGTGGCCTCCACTTGGTGGTGGGATTATTTGATGGGTATTAGATTTGGTTTGGTCGAGCACTTTGTTAAAAATTCTTTAAATTAAAATTGCTTTTGGGTTTTCCGCGAAATTTTCATATTTGTAGCGGTTGTGATTAAAAGAATTGAATTTAATCTACTCCTTTAAATGCTGCTGCATATGTTTTTTTTTTGCCGTGTAGTGGCGTGTACTTTTGTTTTCTCCTGAACTACATTTATGATATGCAAATATCGACAAGAACGTCAGTTCTTTTAAGACCAAAAAAGCACATACACAATCTATTTATTCACTTTATTCGTGTATTGATCAAAAAATACAACTTTTTGCCCTACTTTCATACTACTTTCGAGACATTTTAGCTATTTTACATAATAAATCTACCTGATAGGCTATGAGTGATATGAGTTATGAGTATATTTCAGAGATGACAGCTAACGTCAAATGAAAACGACATCAATCCGCCATTAGTGTTGCATTTTTTGGTGAGAATAAAATATTAATACCACTGAAATTAAGGCAAATTCGTGGATTTGAATGATCAAAAGTGGTTTAATATTTTATTTTGATTTATTTCCATAGCAGTACAAAACTAGGCCTACGCTTCATACAATTTGGACCGTCTGCTTTAACATCCAATGAATTACGAACGTGTAACTAAAGTTATTTATACATCTCTGAAGTTAAAATACTTTTTCCTATTTCCGGGTACTAAACGTATTTGGAATTGTCTTTATTATAAAGTCTTTTCGATTTGTCGACAATATAGTCCTTATGGCCGGATAGTTGGAGAACCTAAGCACGCGTACGCGTAAGCAACCTAAGTACTGGCATAGGTGTGACAAGCGTCCATGTCACACCTATGCCAGTAGCTTTTGGAACCACTACGCTCGAAGTTGTAGACGAGTATGTTTATGCGACAAATAATCCGACAAGGCAAGTCCAACTTCGATCGAGAGGTTAATTGACGGATTCTAGACGGCTGTGAGATTACGACACATCTTTCCGTAAAGTAAGCCAATAAGCCAGTAACATGTTCAAATGGTTGGAACCTCTTGCATTGTTTTCAAGTGAAAACATCTTTAGAATCGTGATTTAAAAAATCCGATTAAACGAAAAAACTACACTAAAAAGAGACATACATCTATAGAATTTACCTTGCGAGAGAATGAGATAGAATACAGTGTAGACCGTGTACTCAAAAGGATGTGGGTTGGAATCAGCCATTCGACTACTGTCGAATGGTTGATGAATGGCATGTCGTTTTTTATATTTCCACAAATTAATAGATTTATTAAAAAAAAAAAAATTCACCATATTGAACAAATTTATTTTAATATACAAATCAGTTTAAAATATCAATCCACGATTTCATAACTTCAGGGCATCTTTACTCGAAAGAAAATATACTTTAAATTTATTACACTAAAATTAAGTCTAAAACTAATGAGCAAAAAAAAACTTTTACTGAAACTGAAATATTTTCATTTTCTATTTCATTTGTGTGTGTACTGCATACTTGTTTTTTTTAGGCATAAAAACTATCAAAACTGTACTTTTTCTTTTGCAAATGAATTTTGATTAATAACGTAATCATTAATTAACTTAATTAACTTTAGAAATAGAAATTTGATCTGAAGCTGTAAACGGTACAGAGTTTCCTTCTAAAGTTTAGACCCTGGGTCTGAACTCTGCGTTTGACCCTTAAAAAACACATGGGTTAGCTGCGGTACCACTGCGGAGACTACAGGGTACTCAACGTTCGCTAGATAGATCGACAAGATAATTATCTAATCAAGGACATCCACGACTTTTCTTATGAAAATTCTTGATGCATTATATTTTCTACCAACTTTCGAAATACGTATAATCAAATTAATAGAATCAGGCGTTACTTTGCGGAAATCCATTATATAAAAGCTTTTACAAAAATTTACTTCGCAAATATCCGCGTTATAAAATAAAATGATGTGTCTTACCTAGTATGAAGAAGCACCTCCCGCCCTCCCTTAATTGCGTGCACTATCCCCGTCACCACTAATCCCAGCACCGCTACTTCCAACACCACTACACTAGGCTAGACACACCACTGACGATAATACGACACGTGTTTCGCCTCTACACGAGGCATCCTCAGGTGATATAGTTAGCCACCGTAGAGTCTATATCACCTGAGGATGCCTCGTGTAGAGGCGAAACACGTGTCGTATTATCGTCAGTGGTGTGTCTTGCCTAGTGTAGTGGTGTTGGAAGTAGCGGTGCTGGGATTAGTGGTGACGGGGATAGTGCACGCAATTGAGGGAGGGCGGGAGGTGCTTCTTCATACTAGGTAAGAAACATCATTTTATTTTATAACGCGGATATTTGCGAAGTAAATTTTTGTAAAAGCTTTTATACGTATAATCAGTAATTTATGGTTTTTGAGAACGACTCACAAAATAGCGATCACCACATCCTTCATTTTGTACAAATTTCTCTTCTTAAATTTTGAAATATTAATTTGCTTCTTGAAAGCCTTCTGGAGTTTGTGAATAAGGTGACTAGAGGTCTCGATTTCTGTTATTGCTGTCTAGATAAATTCTTATTATTTTATTTGATATTGATGTCTTCTTGTCTCTGGCACTGCATCCTAAGCGATACTTTACAATGTTTGTATTGCTATCACAAGATTTATGTTATTGCTGTCTAGATAAATTCTTATTATTTTATTTGATATTGATGTCTTCTTGTCTCTGGCACTGCATCCTAGGCGATACTTTACAATATTTGTATTGCTATCACAAGATTTCTGTTATTGCTGTCTAGATAAATTCTTATTATTTTATTTGATATTGATGTCTTCTTGTCTCTGGCACTGCATCCTAGGCGATACTTTACAATGTTTGTATTGCTATCACAAGATTTATGTTATTGCTGTCTAGATAAATTCTTATTATTTTATTTGATGTCTTCTTGTCTCTGGCACTGCATCCTAGGCGATACTTTACAATGTTTGTATTGCTATCATAAGATTTCTGAGAAATATGTATTAAGTCAATAGCGAAACCATTATTAGTATTTCATCCACATTTTGGTAAGATCAAGCAACACTTTGAGACTAGCTACTTACAAAACAAATTTTCACAAATCTAAATAAAAAAGTATGGCGATACTTCAGCCGCTTACTTTATATAAAGCGCAAGTCCGGTCGTGCATGGAGTATTGAGCAGATTTGGACTCAATGGAAAGACGTGCAAAGAGGCTTATTGGTTAGCCGAATTTGGTTAAGACCAATCTTACCCGTCTCGAACACAGGCGCAAAGTAGCCAGCCTTTCGGTTTTCTACAGGATGCATTTCAAAGAGAGTGCTCAGGAATTGCATAATTTAATTTTTCCATCTCTTTTCCACCATCGGACAACCAGATGTTCGGCCAGTCACCATCTCTTCGTAGTTGAGTTACCACGCATTCGAACCAAACGATTTGTTACATCGTTCATCATGCGTACAGCAAAGGAGTGGAATAAGTTGCCAGCATCTGTGTTTCTATCCGAGTTTTTTTTTTATAGGATCGGGTGAAAAACGAACACACAGTCCACCTGATGGTAAGTGGTTGCTGTGACCCATAGACATCTAGGTCTATCTTCATTAAAGAATCGAAATACAGATGCGTTGTCACCCGTGAGGACTAAGATGGAATGCCTCTTTTCCAGTAAAAAGGGTCTCCGGTTCTTTACACTCACCATACGAAACACAGCAGTGTTAAGCTGCTATTTGACGCTGGTATTCTGTGAGAGCGTGGTCCTTCCCCGGTCGAGCCGACCCATTCGTGCTACAACTACACTACTAATATAGCTGCGGCGTGGCTCTACCACGTAGAAATAGAGATATAGAGTAGAAGATAGAGAGTAGAGTATAATGTGGGTGTCCTCAAGGCAAGAGTGAATAGGCTTTTGTTAAGTCAGTGCGCTTCACCATTTTAGGCTACATCACCACTTACCATCAGGTGGGATTGTAGTTAAGCACTGGCTTAGAATAATATAAAAAAATATATAAAATTTGAACAGATGAATAAAATGACGCCATAAATTTTAATTTTAGCGGCTTGCTTGATGATGTCAGTCTCAGTTTCTTTAGAAATAAGTGTACACATAGACTTTACAGCAACCACGTACCTTATAGGTATATATACACACACACATTTTAACTATCAACACCAATTTACAAATCTAATACAAATAATCTATTTTTATACTAAAGTTTGCTTAGAGTCACTAATCTACGTTTAATCTTTTAAATGTGCCTGATATTCCCATATACTCTTCGTTTAATTTCTCAGTCTGTCTGCACTTCTCATTTGTGGAAGCTGCTCTCATTTTGTCGTAATATTTTTGAAATTCCTTTGAACTTAAAACATCTTTCCATTCGTCTGTAAGAAAGAATACGTATATTATTGCACACATAAAACGCATAAATAACTAATATAATGTTGTTACTATTAAGAGTAGAAAATAGAAACAAACCTCGATGTAATGAGGTTAGGACTCGTAAACTTTTTTTTTATAAAAAAAAACGAGCAAACAAGCATACGAGCATGCGGCTCACCTAATGGTAAGTGTCAACTGTTGCCCATGAACCACTGAAACACCAGGTTATTGCAAATACGTTGCCGACCATTTAAAAAGAAGTAAGCTCGTTTCTTTAAGGTGCCTAATTCATATCGATCTGGGAAAATCGCCGGTGGTAAAGAATTCCATTAAGAAGTCGTGCGAGGAACAATACTCCTAGCAAGTTAAGAGTATCCATCACCCATTTCATCACGTGGGTGTTGTAAGAGGCTAGTTATGATAGAAACATCTTATGGCTCTCAAAAGATGATATAATCATTTCGTTAACGCCAGTCGTGAAATACCAGACCGGCGACGGGGAGCAGTGTTTCTTATATTCTCTATTTCTTATATTTATGCGAATACTACACATTAAATGAAAATTAAATGATTTATTGCATTTAATTTTCATTTAATGTGTAGTAGAATTAGTCTCATTTAAATCAGTGGTACCACGAAGAAGTCGTGCGACCACAGACCATCAGTATGTAACCACAGCATTCAGATGATGTGGATGGTAACGGGAGTTTTGGCGCTTCTGGGATGTGTGGTGGTGAAATTTGGCGCCTGAAATAAATCCGAACAATTCAAAACAATGTGGTCAAGTGGAAGGAGCTAGCACTGGGGATTGAGGCACCAGATGCACCAGGTGTAAATTTTTATTACAAATTAAATGTCAAATGATTATTATGTGAGCAGCAATAGTATGGAAGCAGGTGTCTTGGTATTATAGCCAAAACATGGGTTAGTTAAAATGTAAATAACATGATAACACATTTCAGTCTCAAATTATATTTGGTTTGGATAAAGTAAAACCTATCTTCAACCCAGAACTTCTTAATTAGATTGTTTATGTCAATTAAATCAAATTTGTCATTTTTATCATTACAACAAGTGTGATGCGGGAAGTAAAGACTGTGTAAGAATCTTCGAAGGAGGCGGAGTTATAGCCGAAATAAGAATTTTACATTTTTTGGTTTTTGGCAATGTTGACCCCCTAGGAGTGTATGAGAACTTTTTGCCCATATTCAACCATGACCCCCATGACATCTTCTACATGATAGGCTATTTAAACTATGCCTAAAGTTCGAGCCACCCCCAATTTTTTGGTTGTTAGCCATTTTGAGTCCCTAGGAGTATAATGAGAACTTTTTGCCCCTATTCAACCATGACGTCCATGACATCTTCTACATGATAGACTATTCGAACTGACTAGGCCTAAAGTTAGAGTCACTTCCCAACTCATTTCTAGTCTTTACTTCCAATTATATGTCAAATTTTAAATACTAATCCATATTGAATTATTCATTTGTAAATTTAAATTATGTTTTACCATAAAATACTATATTGTGTATGTATTATAGTATTATATGTTTTGAGCATATTTTCTTGCGGCAATCTCTGTGTGTAAGGCAGTGTGAACAAGACAATTTTTTGTACTTTTATGTTGTTCAAGTTGTTTAATATATCTCAATAATTGTTTGTTGTTTACACTGCCTTTTCTACTAACAAAAATTATAGTTGTACTATTTGGGCAAAATTTAGAAACGATAATTTTATTTACGCTGTCGCTATTGATTTACAGTGTCGCTATCCAGGCATGCAACAATTTGTAATTTTTTATCCCTTTAAAGAATAATTTAAAATTATATCTAGATTTTTTCCCATGTCAGCGCTATACACAATTATATTATTGTTTGTTATTATTAGATTTACTCTTTATTTTAATCTCCTCTGCTATGGCACTGTCATAGACTTTTGGTGGTGATATAATATTATCAGCACACACCGACTCTGAAGAAACTGGTATTGAACGTGGATTGAGCTCGCAATGCTGTTTTATTAAGGAGTCAAAACGCTCCCCATTATATTTACATGTCTTTACCAGATTATCCATAGCCAGTATGTGTTCTTTTATTTCGTTTTGGGCTGAGTTATATTTATTGTACACAGTCAGAAGGGAGTTAGAAAGTGTTTAAGTTTATGATTTAAGGCACTCTACGTCAGTCCCATAACATTTTTTTAATGTTACTCACCTCAATTGAATACAAACTAAGTTCATATATCAATGCTATAAATATATTAATATAATTTTTGATATTGATCTTATCTGAGGGATAGTTCTGATATTACACTTTAATGGGTCAAGGAACAGGATTTAAACTATTTTATTGAAGTAAAATTTATTTGGTAATACTGTTTTGTAAGAACATACCAAGTTGTTTGGGAAAATTATAGTAGTCAGTAAATTAAAAGGAAAATGCAAGTTCATCAATGTTGGACATGAAAGATCAGGATAATATTATCCATCGGTTATCTTTTTTTGCCTTACCCTAGAATGAATCAACTTATTTTACTGCAACCAAGTGTTAACGTCGCAAGGAGCTATCCTGCATAAAGTACGAGTAGTTGCCGCTTTATTAAGCAAACCAAGCTTTTTGGAGCAAAAAAGGAAAGTGCCCTAAAATTGAGGAGATACGGCAAAGGGTTTATTTTTCTAAGACAGAATTGAAATGGAATAGATTTAGTTAATCCTTATTCGAGACATCGTTTAACAAATAGCCGGTTCGAAACACTAGTTTGTTTCAGTGTTTGAAACGACGTGTCCAAGAGACATATAAGCACGGACGGTGACGGTAACTTAAAAAAACAACAGCATTGTAGCTTGTAAATCCATATACGCCGTCGACTGCAAATTAATTTTTGGAGAAATGCTTGGAGCATTACCTTTGTAATTGACGATATTTTCTTTTTAATATAATAATAATATAACTAACCATTTTGGATAGCCCTTGTCAAGTTTTGGCTAATAATTATTTGACAGTGTACTTCGGTCTTTCATTTATAAAGACTATCAACATATGGTCTTTCGAGCCGGATAATATGTTGGTGATCTTTATACTGAATGAAAGACTGACGTGGACTGTAAAATAACTATTAGCCAAAACTATACAGAACTCATTTCATAATGATTTCTTATATTTACGCGAACACTACACATTGAATATAACTATTTTTACGGATTTTATCGTGTTTAATTAACTTATTTTATATTCCCGACGTTTCGGTTGCTTTTCAGCAACCGTGGTCACGGGGACCACGGTTGCTGGAAGATTGCTGGGAGATAAACCGGAGTACCTTCAGCTTTTTTAATTAATAATTTTGGTCCGATCTACACAGAATGAATTAACTGTGTCTTGAAGTCTTGCAGTGGTATGCTTGGGTTTCGTTTAAATTTTATGAATTACACGATCCCAAGCAGGTGGTAGTACCCAGCCTCCCTTTCTATAGAAATTAGGATGTTTTTTAAGTTCAATAGCCTCACGTATCATCATTATGAATGCAAAAATAAACACATATTAACAGTGGTAGTGCCACGCGGCAGCTTTTGCTGTTGCACGGATGGGCCGGCTCGAATCGGGATGGTACCACGATCTCACAGAATACCAGCGTGAAGTAGAGGTTTACCTCTGCGTTACGCTTGGTGAGTGCAGGTGGCCGGAGGCCCTTTTTATTGGAAATGAGGCATTCCATCTTAGTCCTTACGGGTGACAACGCATCTGCATTTTGATTTGTAATAGAGGATAGATGTAGATGTCTATGGGCCGTAGCAACCACTTACCATCAGGTGGACTATGTGCTCGTTTGTCACCCTTATCCTATAAAAAAGTGTAGATAAATACCAAAAACTAACAACCAATTCAAATGTCCAACAGCTATGTCAACGTAAGAACGGAGCGCAACCATTGACAACAGACGCGAGTAATAAACAACGTGCGGTCTACAACCTGTCAAAACAATCTCTGGACGACGCGACAATAAAAGTTTTCGCCAAAGGCATGAATTGCGCAATAACATCGCAAAAATTCCGTATGAAAACATTATCTGTAGGGTTGAGAACTGTCTGTATAAAAATAATATTGGTAATGAAGATGTAGAGGCCATACATCAAGACATTTCGTCCTTGTTATGTCGAAGCTCAAAATCGAAATTAAATCTTCCCAAAGATGAATTTATTGCACTGAAAGACTTACGCATCAGACCAGATCTTACGATTATTCGCGCAGATAAAGGTAATGCTACAGTTATAATGGATACGTCGGATTACAATTTTAAAATACAACAACTTTTATCGGATGAAAGTACGTACGTAAAGGTCGAAACAGACCCTACAACTAATACGCTTAAAACAACTAGCGATCTAATAAAAAAATACTCCGAGAAATTGAATCTAGACGTTAATTCGACAATACCTGCGTGTGCGAAACCACCGAAGTTGTATGGGTTACCAAAAATACACAAACCGAAAGCTCCATAATTAGCTCCAAATTGGCTCAACACCTAGCAAAAGTACTATTATCACTCAGAGGACACACAAGAGCACACACGAAGGATTCATACCATTTTGTCAGTGAGATAAAAGACCTATGTCTTACTGATAATGAAACTATGGTCAGTTTTGATGTTCAGTCTCTATTTACATGCCTACCTGTTGAAGAGTGCATCTCAATTGTAACTAGGAAACTAGAGGAAAACAACATGCCAGCAGAATATGCAGTATTACTCAGACATTGCCTTAAATATGGCTATCTATTGTGGAAGGAACAGTTTTACAAGCTAGTAGATTGTGTTGCGATGGGCTCATCAGTATCTCCCATTATCGCCGATATTTTCATAGAGGACTTTGAGGAGAATGCCCTGCTTACTGCACCAGTAACTCTAAGTTTCTACAATCGGTACGTAGAAGATACTTTCACAATTTTATCATCAGGCAAAGTAACTGTATTTTTAGAACATCTTAATTCCATAAACTCTAAAATTC